CAGTGGCGTAGCCAGCCCGACAATTTGGTCATGCTATGCAAATTTCAAATCATCATTTCTTTAGAAATTCATTGTTTTCACGGTCTATGAACACGGAAATATTTGCATAGCATGACCAAATTGTCGGGCTGGCTACGCCACTGACTTGGCGTAAATGGATTAACTAACCTATTTTAATTAACCCATTAACTGGCAATGTGCCTTATTTTAGTATTTACTCTGTCTACTTGTCAGTGGTAGAGTACTGCCAGTAAATGGGTTAAAGTAGTGTTTTCTTTCTAGGCTGTTAATTGGGTCGAACTGTTCCTTTCTCTCGGTGGCAAATGTATGGGATATGAGAAAGCACGAACTACACCATATATCCACGCCATGGTGTACCATGTTCCAAAGTTCATGCGTATACACAATGGAATTAAAAAGTTCATTGGCCAAGGTAAGGATGGCACAAGAAAAAGTGCAGAGACGGATTTTCATATTTTCGTTCGGGGGGGATAAATATCTCGTGGGTGCTGCTGCTTGCTTTGGCCAGGGCGTGGTGGCAACGCCCGGAAAGGCCAAGGAAAAGGTTTAACAAAATTTGCTTTCTAGGCCTGCATGGCGAGATCTGAGACCATAATATTGGTAATTTTACAAATTTAGTAGTAAGAATAATCAAGTATGAAACTATCAAATCAAAATATGTCAAATCAAAATAAAATCCGTGCCTGAAAAAGTGTATTTACTAATATAAAATAAAACACTTCCAAATATTGCCTTTTATAGGTGTTGAGAAACTTAACGATGACTGCAGGCGAGTCCACTTGCAGCGATCAAACAAGTGGGATGCAGCTAAAGATGTCCTTTTGGTTGGAAAACGCATCGAACATCTTGCAGAATGTAAGAGAACACCAAGAAGCTACAAAAAGCAAAATTCAAGTTACTTGGAAACAGGTATTAAAGATACACGTTCAAAGCGAGTGCGAATTTCTTGTGAGGAAGTTGCTGATTCCCAAGAGCCCTTAGATATCGATGTGGATACCCTCTCAGTTCAAGAGATTAAAGAGTTGCTTAAAGTAAGGGGAGTCAAAACAAGAATCAGGTGCCTTAAGAAATTGAAAAAACAACTTATTGAATCTCTCCGAAATAAGGAAAATGAGGCACCAAACTCACAACAATGACTGAACTGCATTTGGTGATATTTACAGGTGGTGAACACTGTAGAGCAGCCTAACTTTGCAAAAACTGGTAATCATTCAGCTAGGCTATAGAATTTGTGTAAAATATTTTTAAAAGATAAACTACAGAATATTTATTCATATACTGTTCATAAAATACAAATATTATTTACAAAACATTTACAAACCCTCTGTACTTCAGAATGTTTCAAGCAAACAAGAATATTTCATATTAAATTTATAAACACACTGGTCCCGATATTTTTATATTCAAAATGCCAGTTATCTACTGGAGGACCATCAAAAACTTGTGATTAATAATTAAAATCAGATATAAACTTAATAAAAAATATTATGTTGCTCGTTCTCTGGCTGGGTAACATACATTATGAAATACTGTCTGTATTACATGCCCTCCGGATTATTGTTAAGCAAACTTTCTCAATGGGGAACCTGGCCGCCTTCACTAATTTACCTCTATTGAACCTCCACTCATTGAGTGTGAGTGAGCTTTTATAATACAAGCATTAATGTCACACTGGGTAAATATCAAGATTTTTGTGGCATCTCACTTGAATGTATAATATTTGATGGTTATTGTAGATGGAAATTGTTGAGTGGAAATTTTGTATACATTTATAATAGACCCAACCAGGAACAGAAGCGAAAAATGTAACTTTTTGCTTCTGTTCCTGGTTAGGTCTAACAAATGTATATAAATTTCCACTCAACAAATTTCATCTACAATAACCATCAAATATTTAATAGTGTCACACTGCAGTGAATTTTATGCTTGCCCCATTTTAATATTCACTTTTCACTAACATATGGATATGAAATTAGCAAAGAAATGCCTATAAGTGAACCCTATATTCCCATGAGGCATGAGTATAAATTTTAATAAAAACTAAGTATATTAAAGACAGTATAAAATGTAATTTTGGAAACAAACCTCAACAAATCTGTAGTCAGGTTACTTGCAGGCTCCTATGATGAAGCGTCTAGAGACCATCCTTTCCATTTAATCAAGTATTCATAATCCTATATAATGGGTCCGGACAGTGTAAGCATTTGGATAAGTTAGTTCTACATATCAATATATATATATATATATATATATATACTGTATATACAGTATGTAGGTGAAAAATGAGACAACGATGAACTACACAATGACAAATTTCAACTTACGGAGCGAATCCTGCGCCTTGTGATAAACCGCTCCACTTCAAAAAATTTACTCTTCTTTGATCGTCTGGCTGTATCATATAATACAGCTGAAGAAAAATAATTTAATTGTCTGTAATCGACAGTTCGAGCTCGCTTCTGAACTGTCGCCATTTTGATAGCACGCTTGAACAGGACACTAATGGATATCGGGAGGTATTGAGGAATTCTGAGGACATTGTTTGAATCGCCGCTGAGGACATAGCGCGGGCTCAAATGTCCGCGATTTCTGGCCATGATTATAGAATTTTATATAATGCCTATAAAATATAATATAAAACAAAGCTCAACTACAAAGCCTTAAAGGTTACACTAGGAAAACAGTAACAATAAATAGAGTACAAACCTTTAAACAAACTATAACCACGATCGGTATTAATACAGAAACAATTTCTTGCCAAAATCTTCGATCTATCATGTATAAAATAAACACCACTCTCATCGACGCCATGTTCGGAAAAAAAAGACGGAAATTGTACGCCTAAATTCGCTACTTTCCCAAAAGGCACTGAAAACTAATAACTTTTTGACCCAGTCATTAACTCACCTGAGTGTCAAACATCTTCTGAGGTTTGGTAGATCGAGGTCTAGGTTTTGTAGTGCAGTCTTCAAAAGATTCACAAAGACCTAATAGAAAAATAATATATCAAGTTAGAAAGACTCTTATATGTAGAGAGTAAAGGATAAATTGAGGTGCATGTAGGTACATTTCTACTCCCAGGGTTGATAACTTCATATACCACCAACCTCTGACTATAATCCCTGGGCTTATATTCTTACATTAGCAACTTTTGATGGGCTTATACAAGGGGGGGGGGGGGGGGGGGT